TAGGCCGAATTGGGCCTTAATATCATACCAAGGGAAATCTAGGAAGATAAGATTTTGAAGATTTAATAAATTAATCTTTATTATCCTTTGGTAAAGGAAAGGAATATATGCCTTATGGAAATGGTTAGATTTTCCTTCATAAGTTGCTAAAATAAAATAGCAAATAACAGTTAATCTCACACTCTTAATAGGTGTTCATTTTCAGAAGAAAGCAAGAGACTAGGCTGATAGGCGAAAAAGGGATTCCAGTTTTGAAAATCAAGTAAGTAGGAATCTCGCCTACAGTATAAATAGATTTTAAAGTAAACAGTACACATGAACTATATATGTTTGAGTACATTTAATGTTATGAATGCTATGCTGTGTTATACTACATACACTTAAGCAATACACCCGCATTATATGTGTTCGAGTACGTGATATAGTATGCTATGCTAGGTCATATTGCATACACCTTAATAAGTCAAGAGGAACTTATAAGAGTAATCTCAGTTGAGTGCCGTACCAGCCTCCACAAGGGAGGTAACTCAAGCTCTACAAGGGAGAAAAAAAAATAATAATAATGTCCTCCGACTCAAGGGAGGCATTCAAGTTATAATCACGGTGTCACGGGGGACCTTGCAAACCCTCACGTCCCGATGATTGCGCGCAAGTGGTACGAGCACTCGGGCCCATCAGTAAGAAAGATAAGATAAGATAATAAGATTCTGATAAGACATCATAATTAAGCATAATTGGCTCATGCATATTTATTCATGTGAACTTACAGTTATTTTGCGAGAGATAGTTCCTACTTGCTGAGCGAAAGCTCATTATAGAATGTTTATACTGTAGGTAAGCAACCGGCATATAATGCCTGATGGACTGCTGGCGAGTGGACGAACAATGTGGGGCTCGGGATATGGATACCACCCGTAAATATTTCTGCAATTAGCTTTATGTTACAAATAATTTTGTTAATTATGATTATGAAACAGATATGTTAAGGTTTGAATATTTTAATTAAGAAAGTAATTTCGTATTTTATGTTTATTATAAGACCTTTAAAAAAAATGTTCCGTAAATTTTAAGAAATTTCAGTAAGTACAAGTTAAAAAGTTAGTTACAGTGGCGGCCTCAAAGGAGGGTCGCTACATATATTTTGTGATAAATTTTTTTTATTAATATAGCATTATTTGATTGTTATTGGTTGAAATTTTTACTTTTTTCACGTAATCATTGTAACTTTTTACATTTTTTAATTATTTTAAAAATAAAATTTATTTTTATAACTTTTTAAAACTTAATAATTATGAAAAAAATAGATTTAGTATTTTAAATAGCATTACGTATTAGAGTAAAAATTATAATAATATACCATATCATACTTTTTAATACTAAATATACAATTAATAATAATATTTACTTTAGAAATAGTCTAACTTACTATTCTTTTTGCAAGTAAGTCAGTAATGCATTAAATAAAATTGCAATATATATATATATACACACTCTCTCGTAGATATATCTATGTATTTTCTAGTTATTTTAGGAAACTTTCTTTTCTTAGCTTTTAATTTTTCCTTTTATATAACAAATAAAGGTTAAATCTTGCAAAAATACACAATAATCTCGGTAGAAAAATCATGTAGCATGACAGTAAGTTTACAACGGTTAATTTAAGGATCCGTTTATTTCACTGATTCGAGTTTTATTATAGTAAAAAATTCTTAAAAATAGTTACATCTAACTTTTTTATTACAGTAAAAAATTCTCACATAAAATTCTATCTCAACTCAAATTAAAAACTCGAATCAACAAACTAAACGGGCCTTCAAATCTAACCCTCAATACAATTAAAAAAAAATTTATTGTCTTTAACTCGAAGGGTGTGAAGCACGCTCTTCAATCGCGCGTGAAGAATACAAACGTCCTTACAAATGTCTCAAAACTCGAAACGGAAATGTAAATTAGGTGTAGAGGCGTTTCCGCTAAGGCGTCACTATCCAGCCAGCTTCAAGGACAACGTCATCAACCAAAGGAAATTCCAACTAAAAAAAAAATCCAACTAAAACGGTGTCGTATCATCTCAGCCGAGATCAATCATTGGCCTAAGCCTTTTATTTTTAATTTTAATTTTCTTTCCTTAAATGAAAAAATAAATATATTTATGGAAAAAATGATCCCGTGTCAGCTTCACTTTATTTATTTTTTGAAGGCAATATTTTAATGAAGACATTCTGATTTCTCTCCTTCACTAAAACCACCTTTCTCAAGCTCACATATATCTAAGCTTAAATGCTTCTACTTTCTCAACAACACTCATAAACAAATTCCCTTATTATCTTTTCTGCATTTTAACGGTTTTTGGGCTTCTAAATTATACTGGTAAAACATCTCATTTTTGCACTTTTTTTGGTGGGCTAGTTCAAGCGTCATTTTCAGTGAAGTTTCTAATTTCTATCATTTCTCTTACCGGTGTTGCTTTGAGCTTAATTTTTTCAGCTTGCATTGTCATAAATTTACTTGCTTTGAGCTGCTTTTGGTTTGAAATTTTATTACATTTGGTTGCTTTTTGTTCAATGTTTACTCGGATCTGAGTGCTAGTGAAGGAATCTCTAAGGATTGTACAGTAGTTATTCTTTTCTGCATTTTCATCTTTTACCCATATAACCATTTTTGTATCTGAGCCTGTATATCAGTATAAGCTGTTAAATCGAGGTCAGTTTGTACTTAAAGCAGTCCTTTTTATTTTTGTTTTTATAAATATTATTATTGTATCATCATGTTGAAGTAAGCGTAGTAGCTTGTTCTCTCTTGATTTCTTTTTTCCGTATTTGGTTTTTATTGAACATTAGTAGCTTAAGTGATAATTGTGGTCCAAAACTTCTTTACTGAATAACATGTTTCTGGGTTTTGGCTCATGAACATTTTGGATTTTAGGGCGCTTTGTGATTGAAATTATTGGAACCACATTGGCGAAAATTAGTCACTGGTGTAGAAGAAGTTTGCTGTTTATGTAACAATGGTTTTAGGCTTGAAAGCAAGGAACAGGAGAAGCCCCGCGGTTCACATTGATTATCTAGTCCATATTCAAGAGATTAAGCCTTGGCCACCATCACAGTCACTTAGATCACTTCGAGCCGTGTTGATTCAGTGGGAAAATGGTGATCGATGTTCCGGCTCAACGAACCCCATTGTTCCATCACTTGGATCCCTTGTTGGTGAGGGGAAGATTGAATTCAACGAATCTTTTAGGCTTCCCGTGACGCTAGTAAGGGACATGTCTGTCAAAAGTGGGGATGGCGATGCATTCCAAAAGAATTGTTTAGAGTTGAATTTGTATGAGCCTCGTAGGGATAAGACTGTCAAAGGCCACTTATTGGCTACTGCCATTGTAGATTTAGCAGAGTATGGTGTTTTGAAAGAAGTCACAAGCATTAGCTCTCCGATGAACTGTAAGAGGAGCTATAGGAACACAGATCAACCTGTTTTGTATCTAACCCTTCAGTCTGTTGAGAAGGCTCGCAGCACTAGCTCCTTGTCTAGGGACAGCTTCTCAAGAGCGATGTCGATGGATAATGCTGGTGGAGAATCTGTTTCAGCCTTGATGAACGAAGAATATGCGGAAGAAGCTGAAATTGCATCTTTCACGGATGATGATGTTTCTTCCCACTCATCTGTTACAGCTTCTTCTACTGCTTTTGAGTCTAATGGGGGATTACATCCTCGAAATGCAGAGGTACTTATTACGTTTTTCATTTGTGTTATCTTTGGTATATAACTGCTTTTGTACTTCCGTTTAATACTTATTTCAACTGTTATTTCTTCCTATAATTAGTCGGGGAAATTTATCATTTTCTGCGTAGCTGTAACCTAGATTTTGAACTAAATTGCAGAATGCAGTAAACACATTGACTGATGGCACTGAAGGAAGTAGCAAGAAAAGTGCTGCAGCATCGAAACTTCAGCTTGAAGAGTCAAATCTGGTACGTCAGAGTCCACCACATGAAAATAGGAAGGGAAATTCATCGTGCTCCTCGTCAGTAGACTTATCTTCTGATTTTGGAAGTCCCCTAAATAATCATGCTTCAGTATCCCACTCTCCCAACTCAAGTTCAACAAAAATCCCAAAAGATGTTGAATCCTATGGTAGTCATTCTTCCCCTTCATCCTTAAAGAATGAAAATGCAGCAGGTTCCAACATGAGAGTGAAAAGTAATGATGGTGAATATTTTGCTGAATGGAGTAATGAAAATGTTGCTGCTGGAAGAAGTGAAATTACAGATGACGCTCACCAAATTGGCCAAGAACACAGATCTATTTCTCTTCAAGCCAAAGGGGGATTCCCAAATAGGAATTCTCCGGTAGTTGAGAAGCTGGGTTCTAATGGCGATTCTCAATCTAATGGAAAGAATGATGGGCGAACTAAGGAAATTAGTAGAGATTTCTCCGAGGAGGCCGCAACTAGTGAGGACAGCTTTGATAGCTCTACGGAGGACAACGAAAGAAAGAAAGAAGAAGAAAGGATTAATGATGAATTGTACATTGAGCAAGATGTTACCAGAAAGCAGTCATTGGGAAGCGATACATCTCCAAGCAGGGCAAATCTTGGAATCAATGAGAATGTCCTGAAAAGTGAAAGATTAAAGCACGTGAAATCTGTTAGAGCTGACTCGGCAAGGAATGGATTAGTTAGTAGTAATCAGCATGCAGATATTAAGGAAAGTGGTGTTCAGGGTGATGCACATAGCAGTGTGGGTAACCTTCGACTTAAGGAACGAAAAGATGCCAAGGTGTTTCCAAGAGATGCCAGAAGTGCCATTTTAGAAAGCAAGATGCAGCAATTGGAACATAAAATAAAAATGCTCGAAGGAGAGTTGAGGGAAGCTGCCGCCGTCGAGGTTTCTCTTTACTCAATAGTTGCTGAGCATGGAAGTTCTGGAAGTAAGGTACATGCTCCAGCTCGGCGCCTATCTCGGCTCTACCTTCATGCTTGCAGGGAAAGTTCCCAGTCTAGAAGGGCCAATGCAGCTAGAAGTGCTGTTTCAGGACTAGTGTTGGTCGCAAAAGCATGTGGAAATGACGTCCCCAGGTATACATAGATGATGCAGTTTTTTTATGCATTTCCTTTACATGTTGCACTATATAACCATATTTCATTTAGATGTTTGTATGCCATTATATCTATTGTGCAATGCTTCTCTTCTCTTGATGGGACATACCAAAAGATAGCCTTGGGTTGAGACTTAGATACACCGTATTTAACAAGATAATAATGTGGGTGGAAAGAAGTTGGTCTGTTAGGTATTTTTATTAGTTAGTAATTTATTGGCAATCTTGTAAAAATTCAAAAAATAGGTTTGAAGATTTTCTGGTGCAGATTCCTATTCATCCGTGATCGCGGGTGCAGATTTTGGGTTAATCCAAATTGATCTCAAGGACAGATTTTGTGTGAAGATCTCGTTGTTTGCGGATTTGAAAGAGTTGCTGTTTTAAAATTCAAAGAGTGCCGTGGTAAAAGCCATTGATCTTCAAGATTCGGGTTTGAAGATTATTTGTATGCAAGATAATGTGGAGATTAAGTTGCTATTTTGAAGGAGTTATTCGGATTTGAAAAGTAGTTGTATAATCCGAATATGCATTGGTTTGTTTCAATTTGGTCATCGTGATATATACTTCAAAGGCATCATATTTGGAAAATATATATATATATATCTATATATCTTGTTTTGAATTTGAAAGATGTGCTGCATAATTCAAAGCCTTTGGAAGTGGTCAAACGTGAAGATAAAGTGATTGATGTACGGATTGTTTGAATCGGATTAGTAGAGGTTTGTTGCACAATCTGAATTTGAAAGAAGGATGATCTGGTTGGAGTTCAGGAGAGAGAATCATGGAGATAAAAGTGATCTTATCCAAGTTTGAATTTCAATAAGATTCTCGTGAAATCTAAGAAGCTTTATTCAAAGGCTTCATTGCAACTCATAATAGTTTTAATAGAGAAAATATTCAGAGAAGTGCTTTTGAGAGCCTTTGAGTGTTAATCATTACCCCCTTCAGGAGAGAGGCTTGTTGCTTTCGGGAGGAAGCTCTGCCGGTCGAAAGAAGTTCGTCGGGTAAATAGAAGATGTGTGGTGCACGCTAAACAACATCACCGTGGCGATTCGTCACAACGGCGTCATTGTCCAGGAGGGAGTCCTGTGTGAATAAGCCTGTCGGTGTCTGTAATTTCTAGAACATAGTGAACTATTTACTGTCTGGGCGTAGCCCGCAGATATAGGTGTGCGCACCAAACTGCGATACCATATTATGTGTTCCTTTACTTTTTGCATTTTATTCTGTCCGAGCAACTGAATGTTAATCCGGAACTCGATTAATCAACCAGTGTTCCAGACAGTGTTCTAACACTATCTGTGACACCTGACGTAAAATATGATCTAACATGTTCTGTTCATGTTACTGTTATCTTTTGATACAGAATCACAAGTTTCTTTTCTGATTTTTCCTGTGTTTTTTTTTCTTTTCTTTTTTTTTTCCCCTCGTATGTATTTCAGGTTAACATTTTGGTTGTCAAATTCTGTTGTGTTGAGAACAATAATAAGCGAAGCTGCCGGTAAACTGGAGCTTCCAACTTCTGCTGCACCTTCTATCAATAGGAATAGCACTCAAAAGGTAAAAGACAAGGTATCATCTCCATTGAAATGGAAGATGTCCTCTCCCAGCAAAAGGGAAGCAGCAGAACTTTTGTCCAGCGGGTCCGGCCACTGGGAGGATCCAAATGCATTTACATATGCCCTCGAAAAGATTGAAGCTTGGATCTTTTCCAGAATTGTTGAATCTATCTGGTGGCAGGTCAGAATTTATTAGCTTTCTCCTTGTTGCCGAGTTTCAATGTATGAAGCAAAAAAGTTTTGTGAGCTATTATATGTTGAACTTTTCCTGATTCTTTTCATCATTACTTCCAGACTTTCACTCCACATATGCAGTCTGTTGATGCAAAGGAAAGTGATAAAAATGATGGTTCTGGGTCAACTAAAAGCTATAGTAGGACGTCGTCTATCTCCGGCGATCAAGAGCAAGGTAGCTTTTCATTAGACCTGTGGAAGAAGGCTTTCAGAGATGCCTCTGAACGACTTTGTCCTGTACGTGCTGGAGGGCATGAATGTGGCTGCTTGCCTATGTTGTCTAGATTGGTAAATCTATATGCTTTGATATTTCCTATTCTTTTCTGGGCTAGGAAAGTAGAAACTAGAAGCTTAACTATTATATTTCCCGTGAAAGAATGTGTTATCTTGGTTTACTATAATTTTTTGGAAAAGAAATGATCTTTATTTTTTATTTTTTTAAATGCAACTAGGTGATGGAGCAATGTGTAGCTAGATTAGATGTGGCAGTGTTCAATGCCATTCTTCGAGAATCTGGTGATGAGATCCCTACTGATCCTGTATCTGATCCCATCAGCGACTCCAGGGTCCTTCCTGTTCCAGCTGGGAAATCAAGCTTCGGGGCTGGTGCACAACTGAAAACTGCGGTAAGCTATAAGAATGGTGTAATGTTGAATAGTCAGTCTTTTCTCCTGCACATGTTAACTCATGTCGCTTCTTTGATTCATCGAACACTTCCATTCTCCTGGTGCTGTCGCCTCTTAAGTGATGAAATGATGAGTGATATAAAGTATAGTGCTTTGAATTGCTTTTTTCTCTGTATTTCTGTTTTATGCATATCTATGTTTTTTAACTGCTATAGTTCAAAGTTCTCTATTGTTCTGTGGATATTAGATTGGAAACTGGTCTAGATGGCTGACCGACCTATTTGGCATTGACGATGAGGACTCACTCGAAGAAGTAAACGGCCATGACGACGATGATGAAAGACAAGATACATCCTTCAAGTCCTTCCATCTTCTTAATGCGTTGAGTGACTTGATGATGCTTCCAAAGGATATGCTTTTAAGTGAATCCATTAGAAAAGAGGTTCAGCACTTGAGCTCTTCCATTGGTCTCTCCTTGTATGCTCTGCATTATGCAATTTACTCACCCCTCTGTTTTTTTCTAAGGTATGCCCCACATTTGGTGCCCCATTGATTAAGAGAATCCTCGAAAACTTTGTGCCAGATGAATTTTGCCCTGATCCAATCCCTGATGCTGTGTTTGAAGCTCTTGAATCTGAGGTTAGTCAATTGTACATACATACACACATATATGTGTGTGTGTGTATGTATTGTATCAGTTAGTTAATTATATTAATATAAACTATAATGAAAACGAGATATGCGGCATACCCCATATTACGATTTATGGCCCGTCTTATTTTCTCTTTTTTTTTTATTTTTTATTTTTTATCGCTTTTTGGCTGAATAAATCACAAGAAACGAACAGAATCCTCCCGGTGAAATCCTCACATTCTCAAGAATTACAAAAGCATCCCTTAAAATTGCTAGTGTCTTAAAAAGTCAACCCCTACGGTCAGCTTCAGTCAAAATTAAATATGCGGTACTGTCATCAAGTAAGGTTGAGGTATCGCTATGTCTATGTGGAAACGTATAGTTGTAATGTTTAACTAGAAATATCATCTAATTTTATGAGAATTCAAGGTTAAACGCATACTTGATCAAGTAACTTTCTCATAAATCACTTTAAAAAAAAAAAAAAAGAGATGACCATCATGATTTTGTTTACATATAGGATGCTAGTGAGGCAGGAGAGGACGCTGCCACAAACTTCCCATGCAGTGCATCTGCAATTGTGTATGCTCCGCCTTCCACAGCATCCATTGCTAGTGTTATCGGAGAGGTCGGTGGAGGTCAAGCACATCTGAAAAGAAGTGGGTCCTCGGTGCTCAGAAAATCATACACAAGCGATGACGAGCTTGATGAACTCAACTCGCCATTGGCTCTGATCATGAAGGATGGTCCCCACTCTTCACCGGTTCCTACAAAGTCCAGCTGGATTTCTAAGGAAAACAACAACCAAAATGCAGTCAGATATGAGCTACTTCGCGAAGTATGGACGGAAAGCTAGTGTAGACCTGGTTAACTACTACTCTATACGTGTTCATATAGATTTGTTTCTCTTGCTTGTCAGTTTGTAAATCATTACTTTGTTAAAGTCTTAGGGGTTCACTGTTAAACTGGGAAAAGAGGTAAATATGAAATATAGTGGCGTTCAAGGATGACAAAAACACATCTTATGGGTGCGTGTAATAATTAGAAGGAAATAAATTTTGATGGCCACGGTTGTTTTTGGTTGATTTCTAGGAAAATGAGAGTGTAGTTTGCAGTTTTAATTGTAAACGCAAGGCTACAACCACAAATCAACAGGAGGCAGAAAAGAGATCATATTCACCTTGTGAGGTCATAGTACCGCATCGACCACAAGTCATACATTACGGCCTTTACAACTGACGATTCAAATTAGGAAATATTTACATTTTTATACCTTGTGCTTTAGGTTTATTCAAAATGTATACCTTCAATTTTCAATCTCATTAAATGTATACTTTCAAATTAAATTTAATACACGAATCTATACCTTAATGATTTTAACCTTTAAAATGATAAAACTACCTCCAAAAAAAAAAAGAGAAAAGAAGCTAAAACTTTCCAACATTACAAACGATAAAAATTTAGAACACAAAAAAAAATCCATTTCAATGGTATTTTGTATATTTTTGATGTCAAAGCAGTAAGTTTAAGGTTTTTTTAATTTTTTTAATTTTTAATTTTTTATTCAAGGGTATTTTAGGTATTTCTAAGGTTAAAAGTAAGGATTGGCTGTGAAAAAGTATTAATTTGGGTATTAAATCTAATTTAAATGTATACATTTGATGAGATCAAAAATTGAAAGTAAAATTTTTTAATAAATCCAAAACACAATATAAAAAGGTAAATATCCCTTCAAATTATCCATGTAATTGCGAATTTTGAAATATAATATATAAAAAAGAATGGAGAAGAAAAACAAGCAAATAAATATATGTCCAGTAAACTAACGTATAGGAAAGTAAACCACAAACAAGAAGTAAAAAGCAAAAGACGACAACTAATAGGAAATGACACGTAAAGCATAAACGACAACAAAGGAAAAAAAATGACAAGAAAAAAGAAGAATGGGACGAGAGCGAAAAACGACAGAAAAAACAAAAAAAAATATAGAAGACAAACAATTGGAAATAAATGACAACAAAGAAAGTTATAAATGACAGCTGAAGTGGAAAACGACAAATAATTAGAGAAGTGCTATGAAACGACAGCGAACAGAAACAGCACCTAAGGCCCGCCTAATAAAGAAAAAAAGAAAAAAAGGAAAAAGAAAGATAGTGAAAATACGATGAACGGAAAAGATGTAACAACGTAAAAAGACACAGAGGAAAAACGACATCTGAAGTTACAATTGACATCAAAGAAGAAAACGATACTAAAATGAAGTAACAACGAATATAAAACAAACACCTAAGGTACAAACGACACAAAATGTAAACGACAAGAAAGTGCAACAACATACCACAGAATTGAAACAACACGTTTCACCAAATAAAAATGACGGAGCACAAAACGACTAGAATTGAGAAAACAACAATTAATATGAAAAGAATAATGTTACCCACACTAACTCAAATCCCAACTCTACTCTAGTGTGTCAACTGATATAATATATGAATTGTCATTTTTTTATTAGTAAATACAATTTTTTTATCATAAATTAACTTGGTGATTTAAACACTCATAGATGTAAAAATGACAACTTATATTTCAAATCAGTTGGTACACAAAAATTAAAATTTAACTTGGTGCCCTTAACATTATTCATATGAAAATATCCCCTCCCTAGTACGAATGATGAAGAGGAATTTGTACCGAACACACCTATGTTTACAATGGTTTAATGTAGAGATACGAGTCGTTGGACAATATTGCAGGAGTGGAAAGAGTTTTGGCTGAGATTGAACAAGCGAATATCACTATCTATACTGACCTTGCATCAAATTATCTCAAAAGTTTTTCATTCCAGAGCTCAAAAGATGTATTGTTTTTTTAAAGGATAAAGTTTAAAGCCTTCCCCTTCTAAATACCATTAGATGAATACGTAATTTAGACCCACAGCAAAGACAGCGTTTTTTTACCCTCATTCCAATATGAAGTTGCTTAAACTTTTTAACACCTGAAAGTAACAAAAAAGAAAAAGACAAAAAGAGGTGTGAGATAGTAAAAAGTTCAGACCTTGTTGTCAACTAAGACAAACCCAATTCTGTGTAAGCTCTAAATAGATGGAGGATGTGAAGGAACCGGTGTTGGCCAAGCAGGATGCACAAGAGGGTATGAACAAATTCTTTCATGTGAATTTATAGGTACTTGAAGCTCGCCAACCTTTTCATAGGGGTTTTCCTTAATCTTATACTGAAAAACATGATTGCCCCATATAATAAAAAACACATCACTGTTGTTTATATGAAAAGCAAGCCCAACCATATTTTTAAGATATTTCCTTTTGAAGTAAAGCTCATGAACCAAAACCCACGAAGTGGACACCCAGTCTGTATACTCCAATTCCCAAATTTTGATAACAAAGCATTCCACATTTATCTCCAAAACGTGCAACAGCCGCAGCTCTCCGCGTACAGCTCCCAAGTATTCCCTGCCAATGGAATTCAGCCATCCACTCCCAAAGTCATCAGGAAAGTCAATGACACATCGATCATTCAAAAAATCGAATGCGACAATTCTGTCAAAAGCATGATCATTTTCACGCCAACATAGAATTCCTTTGCATGTAACAAGATCAAGGTGGTCCAACAGCAGTATCCTTTCTGGTCGTGGATACGAGAAGAATGATTCGCTCCATTGTGCTGATTTAGAACAAAGACATATTGTTGAAGTAGGTGGATTGTGGCACATTTGCTGTCACATCTTCTTCTGTTTTTTGTAGTTAGTGAAGCAAAGTTATTAATGAGGGTATGGTGTATGGTATGGGAGAACTTCTGTGGACAAAATCTATTTTGTTTTTGTTTTTGTTTTGTTGAAGACCACGTCTTCTTGCTCTCTCTGTCTCTCTCCATATATGTATGTATAATGCATTGAAGTTACTGTAGTAAGCAGAAAACACATGTTGCTGTCCATTTTTTGCTCATCTGTTTTTGCTCTTCCGATTGCTCTTTGTTCTTTAAGTTTGCTCTATCTCTTAGCCTATTTCCATCTTCCATCCTCTGCTCTTTCAAAAATCCAACACATATCACCTGAAATTCGCAAGAATCTTCATCGTCATCAGGAGGCGCAGCAGGATGAATTAATACCACCTTGTAGTTGTATTGAGCTTTAGTGGAGAATCCAAGTTGTCCGTTGCTATTGTTGGGCATACATACTAACGCAAACCCAATTGGGCTGCTCAAACCACTGTTTAGTAAGCGGATTACAAATGTAGTAAATTTCTCTGCCAAATAAACCACTTCCCACAAGCAACAGATCATCAAATGAGGCCCCCATGCAACCACGGGTGAAGGCATGAAGTCCAAATAGTTAGTTGCTACCTTTTCATGGAGAAACTTTGATTCCTCAGAAAATAGCTTACAAAATGGTCGGTAACGTTGGATGTTGCCGAATGTACGGATATGAGCTCTTCGAAATAAGATAGTGTAGGGTGGTGAGTAACGATCTTGCTGGTCATGATGCTGGCGAATGAACTTCTGAATAAATTCTGGGTGAGAAATCACGGAATGCCAACGGCGACAGACCCAAAAAGTATAGCAGATCTAGTGAAACCCTAGTTCAAACTGTATTCATTATTTAACTGAACTAAATTAGTAAAATAAACTGAGGCTTAAACTTCCTTCAGAAAAAAAGAAAACTTTTAAGCAGAAAAAAGAAAAACAGAAGCTTTTATTTTGCGAGCAAAAAGTATCGAACTTTGTATGGCACGATCTTCCAAAAGCTTCGGTACAAAGAAATCAAACTTATAACTATGAGATCAAAAACATAAAAAATTCTCAGATATTAAAAAGAAAGATAAAAATAAGAATTGATTGGTCCGTAGCCAAAAAAAAAAAAAGAAAAAGAAAAAGAAGGGGAATCAAACCTTAATCAAGATAATGCGAGATTCATCCTTTTTTTCCATAACCGCGGACCCAGAGTGCGTCTACGACATGATTTTAGGCAACAAAATGACAGTCACACTAACTACATATAATATATATATATATATATAGAGAGAGAGAGAGAGAATGGTCTATTTTTTAAATAACCTACTTTTCTTTAAAAGAAAAGGTAAGTGGCTCTGTTAGTCTTGATCTTTAAACATAGTGACGACGCTAAACTTTTAATTTTTGCATATTTAATCCCTAAATTTTTATTTTTTGACAATTCTGATCTTTGACAGTAAAATAAATGAACTATTTCTAAAATTAAACAAAGATAATCATTGTTCAGATAATTTAATTTTTAACAAAAAAAAGTCATGCAAAATTTTCTCTTTATTACTATTTAAAACCTCTTAAAAATTATGCCTCGTTCGTTTCGCTGATTCGAGTTTAGAATTTGAGTTTTGCTACAGTAAAAAGCTCTCACAAACAATCACATCTAACTTTTTTGCTACAGTAAAAAGCTCTCACATACAATCACATCTCAACTCAAATTCTAAACTCGAATCATCGAAACGAACGAGGCCAATTGTGGACATGTTATAATTATTTATATAAAATTTTAAGTTATGTGATAATAATGATATAGTTATTTACGTTAAATTTTAGAAATCATTCGTTAATTTTATTGTCTGAATCAAAATGATCAAAAAATGAAAGTTCATAGACTAAATATGCTAAAATTAAAATTTTAAGGACCAAATTGTTATTATACTCAAAGTTCAAGAACTAACAAAACCAATAACAAAGAAAAAACCACAAAAATTATAAGAAAAATTCGGTGGATAGTCCTTTTTTGCCACTCCCTTATAATAAATAGTCCTAGTTCTTAATATTTGTCTAAATGGTGATTATTTTGTTTTTGCTTGGTTAATCAATTATTAACCGTCGGTTAGTAATTTTGATCAACTGATTACTGACAAAGCATCTTTAAAAAATGGTCATTTACCTCATTGAATAAATTTTAAATTAACTATTTCGCTAAAAATCTCATGCAGAATACCAACAATAAATTTTATAAATATCTTTTATGTTTATTATTTGATTTAAATTTAGATTTTTATTAATCTGTAGGATTATTTTGGATATTTAAATTATTTAGTTGAGTTCTTTATTAGTTTTAAATTTTAAGGAAGTAGTGTGAAACGACAACAAATAGAAACAACACCTGTCGCATAAACGACAATAGAAAAAATACGACTAGATAGTGAAGTACGAAAGATGACACAAATAGGAAAACGACAACTAAAATTAGAAACGACACTGAGAGCCCGCTTAGTTCGTTAATTCGAGTTAAAACGTGATTTTATATAAAAATTTTTACTATAATAAAAAAGTTAAATGTAACTGTTTATAGAATTTTTTACTGTAATAAAATTAGAATCGGTGAATAATGAACAGAACCTAAATAACGACAAAAGAAAATAAGAGAACGACACGAGAGTGGAGCGACGACGAATAGAAAACAACGCCTAATTTAGAAACGACAAAAAAGGAAAACGACAAGAAAGTGAAAACAACATACCGTGGAAAACGACACGTTTCACCGATTAAAAACGACGGAGCACAAAACAACAAAATTGAGAATGCAGCAATTAATGTAAAACGTCAGGAAATGGGAAAGGACACAAAAATACAAGAGGGTAAAAATTCTTGGGAACATCATTTCTCCATAAAAAAACCAGGTATATAAAAGGCAAACGTAGTAATAGTATCATGATATAAGTGTATCAAACAGCAGTTCTGCTCGTCACTACATTACACATTTGCATGTCTCAAATCTCTATATAGCATAACACGTAAAAGAAACAAAAAAGAGGGGATCAAAATTGCAAAAACAAGTTGGAATCTTCATCATGGAAAACTCCAACAAACTCTACGATTCTCAATCATACATATTTACTATAATGCCGGAAACAAAAATTAAGAGGCCCATTGATATGAACCCAAATCACGCAGTCAGTTTCTGTGATATGTGCTGGAGATGTAATGCAGCCAACAGCCCTTGCCATATTTCTCCAGGTGCACCAGTTACTTGAAAATCAACAATTTTCCTCTGTTTTCTGTAGTAATCTTCCAATGTCTTGCTCTGGGAAAAAATGACAAGGACGCGACAATCAACCTCATGGGAACAATTTCAAACTCATAATAAATGTTCACATACATTTTAAACATGGGATTTATGTCAAAAAGTTAACATACCTGCTCTGCGTTAAACTTTTCCTTCCAGACTCCTTCAGAATCAGTTGCAGATGATTTTTGTTGTTTCATGCAAAGAAATTCTTGACAAGGAGAGAAATTTCCAATTCCTGGATTCTTCTTCTCCATGTGCTCTTCTGTGCTTTTGAAATTCACAACTAAATCAATATCCGCAAATTGATCAAGGATCTCCTGTTAAAAAAAAGAAGGAAAATACAAGACGATTTAAATAAAGTTCAGAATCTAACATCTACGCCAGACAAAATGCAATGTTAGGAACACAATTCACATCAAGCCCCAAGTCGATTTTTGAAACAATTTTCTTTTTATTTATAAAAAAAAAACCATTAAATTTCATGCACTTGCACATGTAAACGTGCTTACTAGCGTGGGGTTTTTCACTCCTCATTGGAATGCTCATAAGTCTATTTTGAAAACCCACAAATAAAAAATTAACATTTTCTTGGAACTTACAGCTTGAATTCTTGTTCTAGGGATTCCGTCTAAAATGAACCCAGTTTCACCTCTGTAGTATCGTTCCTCAAGTCTCTTGGACAAGAGGGCAAATATTACTTCCTCAGGCACAAGCTTTCCCTCATTCACAGCATTTGCAATCTAGAATTCCCAAAAGAAAAAAAAAAGGCAAAAAATGGTCAATAATGCTCATTCAGGAAATAAGAACCAGAGATTCGACTTACTTTTATCTTCAATCTCAAAGTTAAATAATTTGGGGAAAATAACTTGTGGTACCACTTTCAAGATTAGATGAATATATTAAAAAGAAAAAAAATGGAAAGGTCCAGAGTTTATTGTAGGCACGTTTGAACTCCACTAGATTATCAAATTTTGAGAATATTTATTCATTTTCAGAAAAAAAGAGGTTCTCATTTACAACAATAATGGCAGCAGAATTAAAAAGATTACAAAAATGAAGCCTTGAAAATTTTTGCGTTTTACGAATTGAATTCTCAAGATAAAGATCAACAGCTCAATTCTCCGTTTGGTTCTCAAATTCGGAACCAGAGACAAAATATAAAGATCGATCAAAAACACAATTCAAAAAGAAAGAAACGAAATTCTCAAAAGAAATTAAAGCGAAAAACAAAGAATTTTGAACCTTCTTATAGAGAGAGGATCGAGGATTGAGTTCCTGGCGAACAAGAGTGCCCATCGAAATGTGAGGAACTTCCAAAAGTTTCGAGAGCCTCTTGGCGTAGACGTGTTTCTTGGCGCCTCGGTCTCCGATCACCACCCACTGCACTCCTCTCGGTGGAAGCCATCCCTCGGCGTCCACCATCGGCTTCGGCTCGCGCCGATCCCACTCCTCCTCTTCTTCATAGTCGTAGTACTGGAGCTGAGCCGCGGAGGCCGATCCGTAGGCTTGCCGAGACACGAGGCCGAGAAGACGGCGCGTCAGAGGCCGCGTAACCGCGCCGAAGCGGCTGAGTACGGCCATGGCGGCGGTGAGAGTTAGCGAAGGGTTTTAGAGAGGAAACGTCGACAGCGAAGTAAAGGGACGGCTTTTGAGGAGAGGGAAGCAATGATTCAAGAAGAGAAGAGTAATAAAAAATTCAGACAAAATAGGGGAGGGAGAGAGAGAAGATCATTGTGACGAAAATACCCTTGTTTCTTGAAGTGAATTACACTTGTGCCAATACTTATATGGTCGTGGTTGGAGCGCGCGAACCGGGGTGGTCCAGGCCGGTTCCGCTGAGACTCGGGAACGGAGAGGTTGGAGTCAGGTACGGCTGTGAACTCGTGTATCTTTTTTTTATTATTTTTTATTTTTAGAAGAAAAATTATCTTATACGCTTGACGTTTTAGATTTTTTTATTATTAGATTTACATATTTTTTAATTTTTACGTGAGATATTATGTAAATCTAATAGATAAAAAACTGACCTATTAGTATGTTGACGTAACAGAGAAGATCCTATAAAAATTCATATATATATATATTTGGCTTTCTCTACGATAAGACTCTTTATGAAAATCACCGGTAAAACATCCTGTTTTGACGGTTATATTTTTTTTTAACGGTCAGATCTGCAGAGTGAGCAGTTTTGTGTGGTGCATTGTAAATTTTTAACGTAAATTTATACAAATCTAACCGTTAAAAACATAATCTAATGATCAAGATAAAATATTTGTGGTGAATTTTTTTAAGAGGTCTAAGCTCCCTTCTTTATTCTATGAATTTCTATGTATTTCTTTGTACCGACGCGAATCATTCACTCACGCCCCACTGTCTATTTTATGATCAATAAGGGGTTGTTTGGTTTGGGGATTCGTATCCCGATTCGAATCATGATTCATGGTTCGCTACAGTGTTTTCTCTCACAAAAAATACACGTAAATTGAAAATAGTTATAATATTATGATTATAATCTATAAACCAAACGTCTCTTAAGAGTTTTTTCTTTTGATTTTTACGATGGCGTCTTAGTGCTTTCATGAAAGATTATTCGGGTGATTAATGGAGAGATTCGTTTTTTTTTTCTCCCTTATTTTTTTAGTTTCAAAGTTAATTTTGTTTAAATTTTCAAAAACAAAATACTGAAATAATATTTAAATAGTGGTTATTGTGGACTTTTTTGGCATTTTAACAATCTCGTTGAATTTTATAAAATAAAGGAAATAATTTTGAGATAGTCAAAAAACATAAAGAATAGGTTTTAGATTATAAAAAATAAAAGGGCAAACATGATATTTAGCTAAAATTCAATGGATGCTTTGAAGTCTTAATGGTGACATGTCCATTAGGTTTTTTTTTTGTTTTTTTTGATAATCATGTAGTTGCGATTGGTTGAAAAGATGTGGAGCATGACCACCAATATAGCATTCTCGTAATATAGTAGCCATAAACAACATGAAGAAAAAAGTTTCGTAAAATAATGTCAATACTTTACCATCACAATTTACGTGTAATTTAACTTTTATAAACGAGAATTTATTTATTATTATTTTTTTAAAAATATTAGTGTTCACTATTTATTAGTCATCACATTTATATTATTTTTTTTAATATTTCAAAACCAATGTTATCCAAAACTATTTCAATAAATTTACCCGTGATATTTCTTTCGATAACAATATTTCCATCTATGATTATATATTCCCTTATGTTGATACTCCATTTGTAGTCAATTTTTGTTTTCTATGATTTTGGACGTAACATACATCTAAGCTCAAAACCTGTAGAGACATTGTTATACGTATTTATTTATTTTACAAACAACTCAATATGTGAAAAGAAAATATTATAGTAAAAAGTTAAATTTAAATTTTTATGAGAAAAAAACATTATAGTAATAGAACTCAAGCTGTGTATGTGAAAAGAAAATATTATAATAAAAAGTTAAATTTAAATTTTTATAAGAAAAAATATTATAGTAATAAAACTTGATTTATAACTTGAATTGTAAAAAGAACAATATAGTCTTTGGTTCGCCAGCAGGCTACTAGCTAGTGTGAAATTGCTCGTATGGGTGGCAGAGTGCCAAAATTGGACAGCCCAAATGAAAAATGGAATTGGCATTAAGTTGAGTAGAGGTTACCATGATGGGTTCTAATATGATATGAGGGAAGTAACAATATATATATATATATATATATATATATGTATATAGGGTCACGAAGTAACGAAATAGTGAATGCTTTTTCTTCTTGTCATACCGCCTGATGTAGAAGTATACTCGAAGAAATGTTTGAATCCGTCAATTGGGTTTGCCCTCGTTTATATAATAGACTCTTCAAAGTAAGGGCACTAGTGAGTAGTGTTTAAAGTAAATTATCGAGTCTGATCCATTATGGTGTTTAAAGTAATAGTTGTAACATCCTACTTCATATTACCATCCTGTAATTTCTACTTATGTTATTGCCATTTCACAATATAAACTATTTACGTGAGTATGTATTGAACCCTTATTAGTACAAAGTCTCGCATCAAGTCATTAAAGCCCCGTTTATTTCACTGATTCGAATTTTTAATTTGAGTTGAGATGTGACTTTATGTGAGAATTTTTTTACTGTAGTAAAAAAATTAGACGTTACTGTTTCTGAGAACTTTTTACTGTAACAAAACTCGAATCGGTGAAATGAACAGTTCCAACTTCTGATTCCAGGTAATTCTAATCACTAGCTACTTTCTACTCATGATCAACACCAATTTGAGTGCTATTTTCAATTTCCAACTTGCGAAACCTTTTCTCTTACTTTTAGACTTCTTGAAACCCACGAATTACAGGCTGGACATTTAACGTAGTCACACACTATTCTTTACTCTTTACACCGTGTTGAAGTAAAGTATAGATTCTCCTAAACATATTGCATGTCTTTATTCAGGAAACGTACATAAGACGTACTTTTTTAGTTTCCAACATATATATATAGAGGTAAAGTCTCCGGTCCGCATCAGATTGTGTATTTTTTTTTTTGAAATATGTATATATTTTTTTAAAATGTGTATATTTTTTCTTAAAACATGTATATATTGTATATCTTATCATAAAAGAAAATGTATATATTTTAAGAAAAAATATACACATTCTAAAGAAAAAATATTCATGTTTTATAGAAAAATAAACAAGTGCCGCTCCAGTCCAGGTACCGGACTGAAGACAATTCCTATATATATAGATCGAGCAATCGAATTCTTTGATTTTCAAAACAAATTACGCGGAAGATCGAAACTCTCTCCATATATAAAATCCCACATGCAAATTATTAAATGATAATCACGTATATTAGCACTAATTAAAGTGATAAGCTGATTCGCAGTTCAATGATTAATAATTGGAAGGTGGAAACTTTATTCTATGAGTAAACACAAAGGAGGACTACTCTTCAAATATTCCCATCCCTAGGTGTATAAATTAAGGTTCTCAGAACAAAATATCTCATAATTCCTCTTGTACAACCATACATAAACGAGGAGATAAGTGAATCCAGAGAGCCCTATTCCAGAAGATAAGGTTGCCATTTCAGGTATATATGATTAACTTTCTCGTTTAATGTCACTATGTTTTACGTATTGTAATGTATATAATATATAGATGTATATATTTTTTTTATTACGTAAAAGAACTTCATTATAAACTTCGTAGCAACTATGTACCACAGCGTATATAATACTCTGAAAAATTTGCGAACGCTCTCATAGATTCATATTTCACTTCTTACTCTAGATCTGTAGCTATTAAGATATATAATTGATCTTACGCTTGAATCAATATATTGCATATATATTATTAACTTTTTTTTTTTATTATTGTTAACTTTCCCAATGTCATGCAAACCTTCCACATTATCTGTAGATTAATCTATACATATATAAGAAGCAAAAAAAAAAAAAAAAAAAAAAAACCCATTATTTGGAAAATAAAATATAAAAAAAAAAAAAAAAAAAAAAAAAAAAAAAAAAAAAAAAAAAAAACACTGCAAAACTCGCCCTTTTGGTCAAAATCACTATTCAATGAACAGTAATATCATTTTTTTAATGGTTTTTTTTTGCCCTTTTTTGCTCTTTTCATCTTCTCTCTTTCCTTTGTTTTTTTTTTCTCAGAATTTTATATTTTTTCATTATTGGCCTTCTTTTTAACTTTTTCTTTCATTTACCCACATTATTTTTTTTAAAAGATGTTATCCTATTTAAATATTTCTTTCTAGTAGTGCCCTAAACTTATTTATTCCTTCATTTTAGTCATTTTTCTTACCTTTCTTATTTTATTCTTGAAATTTTCTTTAATTCTTTGTTTTGGTCCTTTTGTCCAAAAACTTATTTATTTCTTCATTTAATCTCTTTTTGATACTTTTTTTTTATTTTTACCCTCAAATTCTATTTTTCTTTATTTTGGTTCATTTTGTCTTAAAACTTATTTATTTCTTTTTTTAGTCCTTTTTTTACCCCTTTTTTTACTTCTTGCCTTAAAACTTTAAACCCTTTTGCGTTAGTTCTTTTCTAAGATGTTATATTTAGATGTTATATGCTTTTTAATAATAACACCGTAATTAAAACTTAACATGGATTACTCCTCACATACATCACACACGAGCAGTACAACTAGTTTCTTTATAAAGTCCAATCGTATAGTGCATATTTTTACAGTCCTAGTACCTAATTTACTTTTTTCCTTCTCTTTTTTTTTTTCCGTTTTCTTTTTCTTCCTCTATGAAATCATGAAGATTAGGCCACAATATATAATGGCGGATATTGCCGGAGGAGATCATGTTGTTATCGACGTAAAAGCACACTTGAAAGAAAAGCTGTCTGGTAATTTGGTCATGTCACCCCATTGCAGCATCTTCAAAATCCCAACCATACTCTCCAGACATAGTATTGAAGCTAAGGCTTACGCACCCAATGCATTTTCCTTCGGTCCCTTCCATCACTTTGATGAAAAACTAAAAGCCACTGAAAAGATCAAGTCCAAATATTTGCTTGACCTTATCTCTCGTCTCTCAAGTCCAAAATACAATCCAAATCCCAAAGATCGCGACACGGTTTTGAGTTCCATAATGGTGAATTGACAATTCCACCACTACTAATTCAGGAGACAACGGAGACTGTGTTTCGAAACCTCATCAGCTTGGAGCAGTGTTGCCCTAATTATGAGCCTAAAATCACTTCCTACGCCGTTCTGTTGGACAACCTTATCAACACTAAAGATGACGTGGAAATACTTAGCAAGAATAGGGCCATTGATCTGTGGCTGAATCTTGAGCAGGCGACCAAATCATTCAGCAATCTCTATATTGACACTTACCTCAAAGAATCCTTTTATATCAAACTTACTCGTGATGTGGATACATGGTGCCAGGCCAGCTGGAACAAACATCGAAGATCGCTGGTGCGTGACTATTTCAAACACCCATGGACACTTATCTCCGTCATCGCTGCGTCTATCGCATTGATTCTTTCCTTCCTGCAGACCTTGTACACCATTAAAGGATCTTAAAAAATAAATCATTGTATGTCATTCATACTAGCTTGAAGTGTATAATGTTGATTAATAATTTTCCTATACTTATCAGTACTGAGAAGAAAATTATTTTCATTAGTTTGTTATGTTTCTATTATTAATGTATTAATACTGAGAAGAAAATTATTGTCATTTGTTTGTTATGTTTCTATCGTTGTATTATTTTGCAATATCGCTCTAGTTCGTCACACCCAAAGTTTGGGGAACGAAAAAAAAAAAAAAAAGCTATATCCATCTTCATTAGAGAATATTATTTCATGCTTATATGGTAAATTAATTTGAGACGTAGAGAAATTTTTTATTATATCTTTTAAGGAGTTATTAATGATTTACTAATTATTTTTTAACCAATTAGAGATTGAAATTGATGTAAGATATCGAGTGAAATCTTTTTGGTAAGTAAAATCGAGAGTGATATTTTCCAATATCGCTCTAGTTCTTCGTCACCCAAAGTTTGGGGAAAGAAAAAAAGATATATCTATCTTGATCGGAGAATCTATTTCATGTTTACATGGTAAATTAATTTGAGACGTACAAAAATGTTTTATTATGGGCCAGTTTGGAATAGTTTGTGTTTGTGCTTTTAAATAATAGAAGAAGGTAAACATAAGTTTGCGCTTTTTAATTAGTGTTTGGATAGTGCTTGAAAAAGTACTTTTATATCTAAGAAGAGCTTTTAAACTTATTTGGGTAAAAAAGTCCAAAAAAAACTTACGGTATGTTCATTTTTGCAACCAAAGTTATGACTTAAATTGTGTATTTAAGAGAAAAATACTATAGTAAAAAAGTTGAATTTAAATTTTTATGAGAGAAAACACTGTAACAATGTGACTTGAGTCATGAAATGAACAATGCCTTATTGTTATAAAAAGTAATGTAATAAAAGGATATTAATGAGATATTTAATTTGGTATTCTCACAAATAAAAGGTTAAAAATGTAAATAAAAAAGCTTTTCATAAGCACCAAGGAGTTGACTTGTTTTAAAAGTGCTTAAAAAAGCCAAAAAACACTTTAAGGTTGTTCATCCAAACAGGTTCAAACACGGCTTTTAGACTAAATAAGCTAAATACATATTTTTTAAGCCAATCTAAACGGGCCCTATATCTTTTTAAGGAGTTATTTGTCCTACTTTTAAGGAGTTACTAGTTTTTAATGTACTCCGCAAGTATTGTCGTGTTGAAGACACTTAAAAAGTTTATTATTTATTGAATAATGAAAATTCACTTATACAACCATTTAAGGATTTTTGAATTTTTCTAAAAAAGAATAGGACAAATTACTCTTATGCCTCCTGAACTATTGACGTGTTATAAAAATACCCTCTAAACTTTAAAAATATCAAATTTTCACCTGGACTAATCGTCGTTATCACGCTTCCCACTTATTTGCTCCCTTTGTTAAATATTGAACAGTAAGTGTGATGTGGCAGTCGCTGAGGCATTTAATTTCTAATGTAATATGAAATGACTATTTTGCCCATATAGTGTAAACACTCTTAAGTTTTTGGTGAAAAATGGAAGCATACGACCTTCCTCGATTTCATTGATATTTATACACAAGTGGTTTGATATAATTACAAATCAATCAAATAAATGCTGACATATCCTAATTTCATTACGTGATGGAACTTTTCTGATTGTTTTTGGAAGACCCAATATCAAAGGGATTGCTCTGAGCGTTGACGATTGCATTGCTGATTGCTTGTGATCTGTCATTGACTTTGCCTTTGCAAATCTTTCCTTATCATGCCCCCTCAAGTTGGAGAGGGAAGTAGACTGAACGACCAACTTGTTTCTGAGAAAGGTAAAGGTGGCCTTTGATAGAGGCTTAGTGAATATATCTGCTGGTTGTAAGGAAGAAGGCACATATCGAGTAACAAGAGTGCCCATGGCAACTTTTTCACACACAAAATGATAATCTATTTCGATATGCTTAGTGCGGGCGTGAAGTAATGGATTAACAGACATGTATAAAGCACTTAAATTATCACAAAATAGCTGTGGTGGCTTGCGTAAAGAGATGCCAATATCACGAAGCAAAAAATTTAACCATGTAAGTTCAGCAGTAGTGGAGGCCATCGAACGATACTCAGCTTCCGAGCTTGATCGGGCAATTGTCGGCTGCTTTTTAGAACACCAAGAGACACAGTTAGCTCCGAGAAAAACACAAAAACCAGTAGTACTCCTCATTGTCGTAGAACATCCTGCCCAATCGGCATCTGAGAATGCATAGAGAGAAATGGTGCTGTTTGAAACGAAACGTAGACCATAATCTTGAGTTCCCTTGAGGTAGCGAAGTATTCGCTTTACTGCCTTGAGATGAAGCATAGTCGGATGATTGAAAAATTGACAGATTCGATTTACCGAGTGAGTTATATCGGGCCGAGTGAGTGTCAAATATTGTAAGGCGCTTGCTATACTCTGAAAATTTGTAGCATCCATAAGTTCATCATCTGAACTGGTAGACTTGTCTTTAAGAGCCATTGGAGTAGCATTAGTAGCACTAGTAGGCATGCTAGTACGTATGAGCAAATCTTGTACATATTTGGCTTGTGAGAGAAAGATACCACCATCAAAGGTTTTTATTTCAACTCCTAGAAAATATTTCAAAGCTCCCAAATGTTTAATAGCAAACTCGACACTTAATTGTTGAATGATAGTAGTGACGAACAAATCACTGTTTTCGGTGACTAAAATATCATCGACGTAGATGAGTAGCAGAATTGTTGTATTATTCTGACGATAAACAAAAAGTGAAGGATCTGCCTTACTGCAAAAGAAGCCAAGGTGAAGCAGGAATCGAGAAAGCCGATCGAACCATGCTCGGGGGGCTTGTTTAAGACCGTATAGGGACTTGCGAAGTAGACACACATGATCGGGCTTATGTGGGTCAACAAAACCGGGAGGTTGTTCCATATAAACAGTTTCTTTGAGATTACCATGTAAAAAGGTATTTTTAACGTCGAGTTGCCTCATACTCCAATTGAGTGAAGTCGAGAGAGCTATCACTATTTGAATGGTTGTGTGTCGAACCACCGGACTGAATGTCTTATCATAGTCAATACCGGAGACTTGAGTAAAGTCACGGGCAACTAATCTAGCCTTGAAGCGATCTATAGAACCATCTTCATGCTGCTTGATTCTGTAAACCCACTTGGCCCCAACAACATTTGAATTAGCGAGTTGAGGAACTAAAGACCAAGTGTTGTTATCCTTGAGAGCTTGTAGTTCTTCATGCATTGCTTCTATCCAGCGTTTATCTTTAAGAGCTGAACGAAGAGTCTTTGGCTCTGTAGGAATTGTAGAGTGATGAGCCAGATTACATTCATAATCTTGCAGATAGGCTGGTGCGTGTCGAATTCTGTGAGGTCGCTCGGTGACAACATTTGAAAAAGGCGTCTCCGCTGCACCATTTGTTTCAAGAGCATTGTCATTTGGCAAAGACGATTCTTTCTCAGAATGAATAACATCATTGTCCTCAGAAAGATCATTGTTTTGCTCCATGGAAACTTCTTCTCTGGGTGTTCTTTGAAGCACGCCATTATTTTCTTCCATTATAGTGTCACCTGGAGAAAAATTTTCTTCATCTGCACCACAACAAGAGTTAGTTTTTTGATAAAAACTATTTTTCTTATTTTTGTCATTTATAGTCTGCTGTGTGAACACTTGGTTCTTTTCTTCTCCAAACCATTCGTCAAGTGTTGGAAATTCAGAGAGTGCTGGAATAGAGGAATTTTGCTCTACTTCTGTAGGCTTGAATGGAAATTTTCCTTCATCAAACACCACATGTCGTGAAATATAAACCCTTTTTGTTGCAAGATTAAAACATCGATATCCTTTATGAATGGGGCTATAACCAATGAATACACACGGATAGGACTTTCTGGTGAATTTATTGCCTCATTGATGTCGTAAAGAGGGAAAACACAAACACCCTAGCACTCGCAAGCCTCTATAATCTGGATCTCTCTTGTATAGTTTTAAATAGGGTGCTTTGTTATGTAGAACTGAAGAAGACATTCTATTGATTAAATAAGTGGCTGTGGAAAAAGCTTATACCTAGAGAGATAATGGTAAGTTGGCATGAAATATCATAGTTAATCCGGTGTCAACTATATGACGATGCTTTCTTTCAGCAACCCCGTTTTGTTCTGGCATACCGGGACACAAAATTTGCAACTGCATTCCACCTTTTTGAAGATGATCAAGAAAATTGAGTGAACTAAACTCTCCACCACTGTCACATTGAAAATTTTTAATTTTCTGATCAAATTGATTTTCAACAAGTTTTTGAAACTTGGGAAAGCAAGAGTAAAAATCTGATTTCCTTCTTAATGGATAAAACCACGTGAAGCGAGAGTAGTCATCAATAAAAATAACATAGAATCTGAATGCTTGATTTGAGACAATTGGGGCAGGCCCCCAGAGATCACAATGAATTTTTTTGAGAGGCATATCTGAAACTTTATTATTAAGATTAAATGGTAGCTTACAACTCTTCCCCGATTGACAACTAATGCAAACAAATTGTTTAGTTTTCCAACTAGTGACATCAATTGCTTTTTTCCCTTTCAAGAAAGACAAAACCTTTGAACTGGGGTGTCCAAGCCGCTGGTGCCACAATGAAGATGAGCCGCTACCTTTTATTGCTGTCAAAGCCTTTTAGAAATCCTGTTCCAAAGCATAAAGTTGTCCATGCTTATGCCCCCTTACTATTATCTTCTGGTCTCGGTCCTTAACAACAAAATCAAAAGGTGTGAATTCAACAATACAAGCATTGTCCGAGGTAAATTTGCTTACTGATAGCAAATTCTTTTTCAATTCTGGAACCACAAGCACATCTTTTAAATTCAGTTTCCCTTTACTTGTAGAAATATGAGCATCTCCAATATGTGTTATGGGCAGTTTATTTCCATTTCCCACGTAAATAAAATCATCACCCCTATAAGGCTTTAATCGAGACAATTTACCTGTA